TACTGATTTTTATCTGAAATCCTCAGTGCATACGTTATGATGCTATATAAATGACTTAACAAAACAATTTTGTCTTACAAACATGGATTTCTACTCTATTATTTGATCCAGATCCTTTTAAATCAGCTTTTAATCCTGTTTGTATTTTTATTTATTGACAAGGCAAGCCCCTCATATGGAATCCTCGAGGCTAAAGGAAAAGAGGAAGACCGAAGTACACATTACGTCGAGAAATGGAGACAGACATGAGAAAAATGACCAAAAATTGGATAGAACTGGGAAAAAAGGCCCAGGACAGAGTGGGTTCTAGAATGCTGATCGGCGGCCTATACTCCATTGGGAGTAACAGGAGAAAGTTATTTATTGACATCAGGTTCAATGGGACAATTGATTTAAACCAAGTTGAAGTGACACACTATTCCACTAAAGTTTGATCAACATTCAAAGAGAAATAATTTATTGATTAGCTATTTAAATTTCCAACTCTGTCATTTTTTCTTCACTCATTTAAACACATGACAACATGAAATATCATAACAAGTCAAAAAGTAAAAATTCATTGTTTCTCTTGAGATTTGTCTTAAACTCAGTAGTAGTTACTCATTACTATCACACATAGTATTATTATTGTTTTTCAAAATTTCTCAATAATAACAAATACTGAGTTATTTCAATGAGTTGTAGTGTCGCTTACTATGTTAAGCCTATATAACTTGTTCTAGCTTCTGGACAGGCCAATTTATCCGTACTTCTTGGGTCACGTTTTGACATTGTTAATGATTCACTTATCAACCTTGATTGTTTTGTATGAGCGTACATCTTATTCTACTTACCACATGTCTGCTCGGCTATAAATATCGATTAACACTTGATTAAATCGAGTTGGCTCACATATTTTCTCCACTACGCGTCGTTTCACTCTCTTTTCTTCGCCTCCTTCGCTACCTCTCTCTGACTATCTGTTCAGATCAATGATTGTACAAAATATATGTATTCAAAAATCCATTCTTGTATATGACTTATTTAATTCGGTTATTCACTAAAGTGATTTAATTCGATAATTATATACGAGGATTGACGATATGTATATCTCGAATAACAATCAGAAACGATCTCACTGAAATCAAATCGCAGACCGCTAAAGATTCTTAAATTATCCATTCGACGAATTCACATATAACTGGTAAATTTCCACTATTCATCATACAACATTTTATTTTGTTCATAATATATAATAGTAAACTAAATTTAACTAAATGAATGTTTAATCCCAATTCGATTCATTTTCAAAAGGGGTTTTGTGGTGATTTCAATGGTTGAAATCATGAGTCAATTGAAGATAGACCACCATGGAAAACCTGGAAGCACTAGACAGCCGTTTCGTCCTAGTACGGCCGTCTAGTGCTTCCAGGTTTTCCATGGTGGTCTATCTTCAATTAACTCATGATTTCAACCATTGATTCATTTTATTTATGATATTATTATTGTTACTATTTATATCTATCTACATTTTTATTTTATTATGAATAAAGTTAGATGTTTATTTGAAGAAAACAAGACTAAAAATTAATTGCTTCCATGTCAAATAATAAATATTCAATAGTTTATTGACTTCAAAACATCATATCGTGTTTGTATAAATCAATAATCAATGGAAGTTAATTGAAAACAGATTATCAATCCCTTTAAATAGATGCAGTTCAATATGGATACGTATTATGTTTAATCGTCTTTAAAAAAGAAAAAAATAACACAACATACTTGAACTATTCATTGATCTCTTGTTATCATTTAAGTGGAATCACATACTTTTTTACCGATTTCAATTAATATTTAAAGATGAATAAATTTTAAATAACATAAAATAAGAACTAAAAATTGGTTACCTACTTACTTACACCTGTTACCTATCGTGATGAATCATAGGTCACCCAACAGCGTTCTTCTTCCAACTCTGTGCTTGACAATCCTTTCCAAAACTTTCTAGTTACTGTTCATTCTTTTCATATCTGCTTCCAATTCTCCTTGCAGTATGTTCTTTGATTTGTCTCTTCCGTTTTCCTTCAGGATTCCCAGTTAGAGGTTGCTTCGTGATGCATTGTGGTGATTTCTGCAGTGCATGTCCTATCTACTTCCATCGTCTTTCCCTAATTTCCTCTTCATATAGAAGCTGGTTTGTTCTATCTCACAGTGGGTTGTTACTGATGATATCCGACTAACAGACAAGTTCATTGTTATAAATTTGAAACTTCAAGTGATTTATATTATGTAACAAAGTATCCAGAGTTTTATGATGTACAGAAATTGTCAAAATGAAAGAGCATTTGCTTACAAATACAGCCATTTTCACTTATTCATTTGGTATTTTGTTCTTTGGTAAACACTGTACATAGTAGTTATTAGATGTTAAATAATCCTTTCTAAAGTAAAAGCTTAATATGTCAAACAACACGTCAACATTAGTATTTTAAGTGGCATTCTAAAATGGTTATCGTTTTTGTTAGTATAGATTAGTATTGAACGTCATAGTTAATGTCGAGGAATAACATTATTTAGGTGATTGGTGAAAACCGATAAGCACTGAATAATTCTTTTCTCTTCCGTTGTAACCTCTCTTTAATGTGCAACTATTACCTTACAAGGTATGGAGCCCAGAGCATTCAAACCTAAAACCATACACCTCCTCTTTACACTGCAGACTTAGCGACCAGTGGATAACATTTCTAACTCCAAATAATTTGTTTTTTTTCAAATATGTAATTAAAATTAATTCTTAAAATTGAAGGAGGTAAATGTTGTATTCATACAATGTGAACGGCTTCCGTAATCAGTATGAAATTTCACTAACTGAATGTATCTTCCTACTTGATGTTCCGGGTTCTTATTTGACAGTGCTGATTGAAACGTTCAGGTACTGGAATTTAGTAGAAATAGCATCGGATACTATTGAGTACTGGATATCCGGAGAAATTTATAAATAAATATTTAGCCATGTATAGAGAGTATAAAGAAGACTTAACTCTAAGCAGAAAGCTTCTGCATACAGACTTACTATTCAGAGGTGATGCACCCAGAGAAATGCTAATACTAAAGTTGCATAGAGCAATTGAGAGAATCCTTATAACAAGTAAACTACAATTAACGTTTTCTACACGTATGTTGGTCACTGAGATTGAAAAATAGATTACCTAGATTATCTACCTCTTTCTGTATCTATCTATTTAACCGCTCTTGTGGACCAAGTTATATTGGTAAGTGTTCTCGGAACTTTTATTTTCGTGCTCGCAGGCACTTCACGGTGTGGTTAAGCAAAGGTATAGTTAGAACTGTTAACAGCTCTAATTTAGCTCACTTAGTACAAATGGGCCGTAAAGTCAAAGTGGAACAATCATTTACAGTAATATATTATGTTAGCAGCAATCTGCCTAAATCCGTCACACTAAGAATCCTTCAGACAGCTGAGGCAGTGGGTATTCGAATCAAAAAGTCAGAGCTCTACATTTAGAAGAAACATATTCAACCAGTCCTTTTAACCTGGTCAACATCCGAACTAATTATTTCGTGATCATTTAATGATATGGTGCTGTGTTTCGATTAATGTTCATGCAACCTTATTAGTCATCCCAACATTAACGATTTTATGTTATTTTATATCACAAACGATTCAAATTTCGCATGCTATAATTTTCAACGATGTCTTTTGACTAAAACCTGCCCACTTATTGGGTTATTAATTTGGACATATGGTTGTAGAACCTAAAGAGAATGTCTTGTTAAGAATATTCCTCTTTCATATATCTGCATTTGAATATGATTGGAATTTTTATGGGAAGTTTAACAAAATAAATAAAACACTAAGTTACATAAAGCTTTAAAGGTAATCAACTATTCACGATACGTATATTTGACAGGGATATGGTCAACAAAATTACTTTGACAACATGAATGATGGAAAAAATGGTGTGTAAAAGTTTTCATAAAGCTATCTTAGTGTATTGTTATCATAGTTAACAAACAATCAGCATCGCTTGCATATAGTCTTTTGTCCTTCATTAAAATAAGATAAATATAAGTTACGGAATTGATAGTTGATAGATTAGTATAGAGTTCTCTAAATGTTGGTTGTAATTCCTGTCATAGACTGACTTCAGCTGAGAAATAAATAAAAACAATGGATCATTTCAAAGTCAGTAACCATGACATAAAATAATTTCCAAGTTAATTTAATAAATGACTGAATTTTTGAATGTAGACAATTGAATTCCAACTTTACAGTCTTAATACAATATGGTTACATGAAAAATGAATGGTCTTAGATTGATTTATGGCAAAATCGTTAATGGTCACTGATATAAAGCCACATATTTAGATAAAATATTTGTTCAGTTTACTGTAGTTTAATTTGGTTTTCCAATTGAAGTTTATGATAAAGACTATCTTTGAAACAACTACTTATGTTGATGATTAAGTCTGAAAAAAATGAAACACATGGAAATAGTAGAGTTTATATTATCCTTATGGTTCAGCATTTGAAATTTAACGTAAAAAAAGACATACAGAATAAGTATAAATGTTTATTGAAATCATAAATGGAATTATTTTTCTTCTAACTGAAATGATATAACATTTTAATCTTCTCGAATATATTCTGATAACCACAACATATAAACAAGATGTAAAGTCAATTGATTCTCTTATTCACTTCTCACCGGAAATGTTCTATATCGCTTTTCACTAGTGAAATAAACCAATGAGTTATTCTTTCAAATGTTTTATTTGTAATAAATAAACATAGAAAATCATTCAATTAATTACACTATCTGATTGTTTATTTATTCTCATATTCAATATCTATTTGATAAATAATTTATTGACCAATCAACTAGCAGAAAATAAATCCTAGATAATTTATCAAGAATGAACCAATCATATTTGAATACTTTTTTTTCTTTATAAACAAAACATGTGTCTGTTGATTTTTAAAAGAAAAAAAAATTTTTTTAGAACGTAACATGAGATCATTTTCTCAATAATAGAAAAATTTCTTCATAGAAAGAAATGAAATAATTAATTTAGGTCATTTTATTGTTATTGTTGTTGTTATTGCTAGTTGTTAATTACAAATTATGCATTATTTTTATTTATCGACAATATTGAATAAAGAGACTCAATGAAATATTATAATATTTGAAAAATGTTCTAAATTTGCTACTAAGGGATTTTACAATAAAGCACTTAGATAAGAACAATTAAGTAAGTCTATATTGAATTATTAATAATATATAAGTTTAGTTTAATTTATTGATCGATTATTGTAATATGTATATATGAATAAAAAAAAGTCGATTAATTATAGCCATGTACATTTTATGGTTTATGTTTACTATTTAAAACATTTTATAATTTTAACTATTTAAATTACTAAAATTTCCACAAAACCCCTTCTGATAATATATTTCAACTGTATGGATTTTTGCGTAGTTTGTATTATATAAGTAATTAAATAGGTATGATAATGTTATTAATAAATGTTTTAAGTTTGTTGTTAATGAACTTGTATAGAAAGAATAAAAGAAACAAAAATAAAGCTCATTTTAATGACTATAGTAGATAAAGGTAATGACATATGAAATTAATTGACTTAAAACTAATTTTTATTGTTAAAAAGGGGTTTATAAACATTGTATTTGAATGATTAAAACTATGTTTGAAATTTAACTACTTTTTTATGTCAGTGATTGTTAGGTTATTATCAATAACCTGAAACAGAAATATTTAGTATCAGAAAGAGTTTTGCAGATATTATAGTAACTTTATTAGTTAAGATCATGAGTCAATTGAAGCTAGACCACTATGGAAAATCTGGAAACATTGAACGGCCGTTTCGTGGATTAGTTGAAGTTAGATATTAACACTGTTCGATGCCGGCTCAATGGTCTAGAGGTTAAGCGCTCGCGCGCGTGACTGATAATCCTGGATTGGAATCATGCGAGGTGGGATCGTGGATGAACACAGATGAGGAGTCTCACAGTAGGACGAAACGGCCGTCCAGTGATTTTAGGTTTTCCATGGTTGTCTAGCTTTTATTGACTCATGATCTTAATTATTAAAATAAATGTTTAGGTTTATCTTAAGTGTTTTCATATTACATAATGAGTTGGTTAAATATGAAGATATAAATATCTTATTATTATGTTTCGTTTGAATGGATTTTAGGGTAATCATACCTTTTTAACACTAGGAAAGAAGAGAGTCATTATAAATGAAACGACTGACTTGTATCTAATAAGGTATTAGTTAACATTTGGCACTAGGAAAACATGTTTTTATCTACAACCATAGTTATGGAGTGCTTAATTTATACATTATTAACTTAATTGATATCATATGTGGTCTTATATGACATAAGGTAATGTTTTACTCTAAGGTTTTAAGAATAGATCAGAAAGAACAAAATGGATTACCAGTCATAAATGGAAATTTCAACACCGAATTAAACAAATATATGAGTATTGACTCTTCTTTATTAACGCATAGAACCTCCCTTGAGCTCCTCTGGGTCTACTGCTGGTCCCAAGCCCGGGTAAAGGAGGAGGATTGGGCGTGGGGTTAGCGACCCAATCCCGTAGAAAGCTAACTCGCTAAAAACACGATAACCAGAAAAAAAGTAAAGTAAGTACCAACGCATACACGAAAATTAAGTGTAATTATTACAAATCAAACAGAGAAGAAAGTTTAAAAATTAACAAATCCCTTTATGTCTTCGGTAACCAACACAATTATCGTAATGATACTGGGATTTAATTGGTGATGTTCCTTTAATCACCAATATGAGCTGTACATGATCAATATTACTTAGATGCTAGTTTAATTTTAAATATTGGAAATTCAATCATTATAAAAGTCTAATTTATGAGTTCGTGATTGCAATAAAATACAACAATCTCTACACCTTCTTACCGTTAAAAGCTAACGTTTAATACAGAACAACTTAGTCAAATGTCTTGAATAAATTTCAAGTGATGTAATAATCAATGAATCTTCACAAAAAAGCAACATAGTATTTTAATCAGATAGGGGTTTTGTGGATATTATTGTAATTTCATAGTTGAATTCATAAGTCAATTAAAGTTAGACCACCATGGAAAACCTGGAAGCACTACACAGCCGTTTCGTCCTAGTATGGGACTCTCAGCAATGCTCATCCACGATCCCGCGCGCGGGGTTCGAACCCAAGACCTATCGGTCTAGAAAAGTTGTACTTTTGTACGAATGACGTATTAATGTTTTGGACTTTACTGGACAAATAATCCGTGAATGATGAATAATATGTATTAGTACAATGTTTTTAGATGGTTGAACATCATAAGAAAGAGATATTGGCTATAAAGAAGTTATCCTGGAATAATACAGCTAACATGTTTGAAGACATAAGGAATAAATATGTATCAGGTCTTTATCAGTAAATCGAATCACATTTAATTAAAAATGTTGAGTTTGGCTATAATAATTTAGATATGTCAGTCCAGTTACTATGATTATACATATTTAAAACAATTAGTCCCTTTGATAAATTTCCATAATCCAATGAGATGAATTTTATCAGAACTATGTGATATATTAGCGCAATACATTTCGAACAATCTGATCACACATATACTTGTTAAGAACATTTATATTTAATAATTAAAAGGTCAACTAGACACGTTAAAGGTAAGTCGTAACAAATAAAAAATAAATAATATTAAAGTACACAAAAACAATGTGATTAACACTTTGGATAATAAATCAGTATTATCAGGGTAAGTTAAGTGTAAGAACAAACTGTTTTTGAACGCATAAAGGGGGTTTCGAATTTCGTATAGCCAAGGCTTCAATAAACCTTAGTAAACGTCCTTGAAGCTTTTGTATAACACTGCAAATGCTGGTTTGATGGCAACCTTATGACTAGTCTCAACCAAATGTTTCTCAATGGAGGATGATGTCTGTTTATCCTGTGGTCTTACTTAACCTGTCTAGTTGACCTTTTAATTTTTACATATAAATGTTCTTAACAAGTATGTGTGTGATCAGATTGTTCGAAAGTTATTGCGAAAATATATCACATAATTCTGATAAAGTTTGTCTTCTCATTACAATATTGAGATTATACATGTGATATTTATGAGTTATATAAACATATCTAAACATTTTCGAAATAAATGAAAGGATTTGTGGGTATTGCCGTTGGTAAATTTTTACTTGGTTAAATGGCAAAACTTTCGGCAATATCAAAAGGGCAAATAGAAACGTGCTTTCAACTAGTCATTTTGAACTACATGTCAATATAATCACAGAATTTCATCTTAAGTATAATAAAAGTGAAGGAAGACAAATGTGATATCAGCTATAATGCAAAGTTCATTGAGTTAATAAAGCACCATATTGAATAAATTTGACGTCCTATTCCTCATTAATTACGTGAACATAGACAAGTTGTGAAATGACAGTATATTGCCATTTATGTAGAAGCATATAGACAACTGTGAACATGAACTTTATTGTGAATACATGTAAATACTGTACAAAAGAACATAAATATCAACATATATCATATTTCAATAGTTGAAATCATTAGCCAATTGAAGCTGGACGGCGGTTTCGCCCAAGTGTGGGACTCCTCATCAGTGCGCATCCACGATCTCGCCCAATCGACTCATGATTTCAACTAGTGAAATTTCTAAAAATCTCCACAAAACTTCTCCTAATAGATATCATACTTATTAGTTCGTGATGAAAAGATCAACAAACAGTGTATCAGCTGATGAATGTAAACAGGAAGAATGTAGAAACATACGAAGAAAATAAAACCAATAAAGAAGACTGGACACAAAGGTTATCAGAATGAAGAGCCTTGATATTTGTCGAAAAGATAAAATATTCACTTGAGGTGTTATTGTAAACAGTAATGAGAACTCAAATAATTCAACTCAAAGTACACAACACCACTGCATTCAAAATAATTTGGATTTTTAATAATAAGTATATCGTAACCTGCTTTGAATGGTTGAAAGAATCTGGAAGAATAAATAATATGGCGAGACTATAATTTATGGACGAACCAATCACGTATAGGATAAGAGATCTCGGATTTTGGCGCTAACTTCACTCATTCATTTGCATAAGTTTAATTTTGGCATTATATCTGATGTCAGTTCGTGATGAAAACCCTAAATCTAATTTCTATCCTTAATCATAAACTGTAAATCATAATTCTAATTCCTCATACAGGTTTATAACCCTCATTTGGTCCTGGTTATCCGGTGGACACTCTCAAGATCGGTCTACCATCGCTCAAAGGTCGTCCATAAACTATTACTTACTTACGTACGCTGTTACTACTCGTGGAGGTGCATAGGGCACCCACCAGCACTCTCCATCAAACCCTGTTCTGGGCGATCCTTTCCAGCTCTTTACAGTTGTTATTCATCCTTTTCATATCTAATTCTATTTGCCGACGTAATGTGTTCTTTGGCCTTCCACTTTTCAGCTTCCCTTCAGGATTCCAACTTAGGGCTTGCTTCATGATGCAGTTTGATGATTTGCGTAATGTATGTCCTATCCATTTCCATCGTCTTTTCCTAATTTCTTCTTCAGCTGGAAGTTGGTTTGTTCTCTTCCACAGAAGGCTGTTGCTGATGATATCCGGCCAATGGATGTTGAGTATCTTGCGTAGACAGCTATTGATAAATACTTGTACCTTCTTGATGGTGGTTGTAGTAGTTCTTCAAGTTTCAGCTCATCACAGTAGGACTATCTTGACGTTCGTATTGAAGATTTTGATTTTGGTGTTGGTTGACAGACAGCTGTTTTGAGTTCTATATATTCTTCGATTGTAGGAATGCGGCCCTTGCTTTGCCGATTCGCCTGTAGCTCTTCCAGAGTTACTGCCAGTCCCAAGCCCAGGTAAAGAAGAATGGTTGGGCGTAGGGTTAGCGACCCCATCTCCTAGAATACTAACTCGCTAAAAAACGCTAACCAGAAAAAAAAATAATTAAAACCTCCATGAATTATAATCTCGCTATTATTTCTGAATTGTTTGGTCAAGATTATTGATTACATCATTGACACTGTTATCTGTATATTACTGTTTAAATAACTTTGTCATGAAAACAAACTTCTCAAATGATCAATTAAATAAATACTAAATCACTTATTTAGAAAAAAGATTTTTTTTTCCGATGAATTAAGTAGACTATTCTGTTTCTTTAAAA